CTACTTAGTTAAAGAGCTAGCTTTAACACTTAACAGGTAATGACTGATTAGCCACAACAACAACAACAAAGATCGATTTATGAAGTTATGAATCGATTTGAAATCCTAGAAGATATAGAATCTCGGTTTTTACATAAATCTTTTTTTTTTCCCCCACCCCTACTAGAGATAGAGCATCACTTCAAGTAACTTTTTGTTTGAAAATACAGCAAACAACAAACAGCAAGGATTTTTTTTAGGGGGGGTTAGTCTACTTCTGAATCACAGGTTTAGTCCAACACTAAAAGAACAGGATGCCCAGTTGTCTTAGAAACAGGAAAACATGTTTTGTGTGTTATGTGTTTTGAAGCACTTCATTAAACAAAAGGGGAAACACCATTCCCCTTTTGCTTTGTGGTGTGCTTGAAACTGCTGGATGCCATTCTGAAACTGTGCGTTGTTAAGGGTGGGATATCTGCTCTAGTGCACTGAGCTTGCTCTAAAGACTGAATTTCTTGTTGTCAAATCATGCCTGTCGCAAAGTACGCTTCAAAAATCATTACATAAAGCAGAGACCACACCTCCTCATAAACTATCCCTTCGTATGACTTTGCTAATCCAGCATAAAAAGTAAAAACATATTAGAAACAATTTAGAAACAAAGACAGCTCTCTTTAGCAAACAGGCACAAAACACTTTTGTTAAATAATCGGTAAGTCTAGGATTCTGAACTTTTTTTTTTGTTCTCATGAGCTATTATCACCCACTCTGACTCTAAATGTCAGAATGGAAAACATCAGCTTTCACTCACGGTGCACAGGAGGTGAGTATCTAATGTATGTAAACTAAGGTGTGTCCAAATAAACACAGTTAAGTACACTCAAGCTTTCACTTGAGTTTCTGCATAAATCATCTGACACTCAAGCCACTCACAGCAGGACGCCATGGACCGTGGGATGCTAATTCTCACATGGCGCTTCAATTTTTGTGAATACAAATGTATTAATTAGTGAATAGAATTCATTGTTCTTAGTAATGCTGTTCACATACATTGTGAAGATGTGGCTTTGTTGAGAAAGTAGACACGCCATATGCAAGTATTCCACTTTTGCACAAGCTTCGGTGCGCTATAACAAGCATACAGGTATGCGAGGACTTCCCTGTCCTGCATGTAGCTTGTTATCGTGTCAGAATCAATAATAATGAGCTGAGAACGTCTACAGGAAAAAGTGATGTTGTGCCAGGGTGGCACAGTGGCGCGACTGCAGCACAATCCCAAATCTCTCCATCTCTCTGTCATACATCCATCTGTTCGGGGCTCTCTCTTTTGCAGCCTGGGTCAGTGTTACACTCTGCTCTGATCAAGAATCTCACTCGCAATTTGTCACATCCCTGGCTCTGCTCCTGCCGTCTCTAGTGCTCCACTCTTCTCACTATTCTGGCACATACAGTATTCTCTCCATCCTAAAGAATCTCACCCTCTCCTCCTATCTTCATCTCAACACTCTGCCTTTCTCATCTTCTGTCTTCCCTTCCTCATGCTCTCTCCTTCTCCTTCTACCCACACACTCATTCAGTATTCATATTTTAGAGGACATTTATGAGCATGAAACTGAGCATGTGCATCTGCACCATTTTCTGTGCAGAGGAAACCTACATTTTTTCTCCTTTAGCCTTCCCATGCCCCCCCCCCCTCCCCTCCCTCCTCTTCCTTATCTAGCTAATCCAGATTCTGGTTTTGGTTTCGTGTTGCTCATCTTTTTTTAGACTGAAAGCCATGTGCCACTCACTCCTACTCTCCCTCTGCCTCTTTCTCCATCTTTTTCTCCCACTGCCACCCACTCAATCCCTTTCACCTCTTCCCACTCCATTTTCTCTTCTTTCATTTGATGTGATAGTATGTGCACTGCAGATTGCATGTGTGTGTTTGTGTAAACATGCTTTTCGCGTGTGTTGGGTCGGCAACATATGTGCCAACCTGACGATGGCAGGTTGCCACAAAGCATGTACGGAGCTGTTTGACACGTTTCTCGTGGATTACTGAAATCATCTGCATCAGTTCTGTCCATGCAACACACTCCTGCAGGAAGCCGTAGGTTTTTTAGCAGTGTACTGAATGTAGCGCTTTAAATCTGCGATACAAACAAGTGAGGAGAGGAACCACACATACAAACTCCTGCAGAGAACCTGCCAAACTCTCAACACTGTCTCCTCCATGTAAGAGTCAAACCAAGTGAGGCTCTTCTCTGCACTGCTTATGGCTAATTCTGATCACATGTCCCATGATGCACTTCAAAGAAGAAGAGGTAACATAAATCTAAGTTTATCAAGGGTTTAACATTTCTGTTCACAACAGAGTACAAATGGACATTGACTCGTCAGTTGAACTTTAAAAAAAAAAAAAATTGTCATTTGTCCATGGTCTCTGATAAGAAATAAATGAACTATTGTCAGGAACATTAAATGGATTTGACAGACTACATCATAAATATGATGATGATATCATTATCAACTATGAACCTGAAAAACACTTCAACTAGGCTACTCAAACTTTTTTCTTTTGACTAGGAAAAAATGATTTTCTATTCTATCCATTAATAAGTATTCAGTCCGACCAATAGTGGTCATCAAAATACAATTTTAGTCTTAAAATAAAAAAAACAAGGTAGTTGATTTTTTTTTAAGTTGTCTTTTATGCAGACATGTACTCCACACACTGACTGCAAAAATTGACTTATATTTCAGGGAGCACCTCTCGTATTTTTAAACCACATGGTGAGTTAGTTCCCACATCTAGTGTGGATTCATTATCTCACACATTTAAGTACATTTATGCTGGAGCGGACTATTGGTAGTTAAGTTTTGGCTGACATATCTGTTTTTTATCTTGTAAATTACAACAACAAAAACAACTAACAATACTATATATATATATATATATATATATTTCTTCTCATTCAAGCACTACACTTATCATGGCATGACACAATACAGATGGGCTTTGGAGACCATACAGGCCAACAAACGTTTGCCCACCATTAAACTAAAAAATAGTACCATTTTATTTCCTTTACATGGTATTCTTAAAGTATATAAGTGATTATTATTGGATGCCTCGAATCCAAATTATATGACAAAACTATGTCTTAAAATGTTAAATCTTAAAAAAAAAAAAAAAAAACACATTGAATTATAACAAGTTAATACAATTGTTGTTGCATTATTGACAGTGGTTACCTGCAGGATCAACACGACCTAATGCTGCAAAATGCAAAAGCATATAGTGCTGCTGCATCATCCTGACGCAGTGTGATTCCTTAATCGCATGTTAATATCCAACCATCAGCATGAGGCCCTGGTTACCCAAAATATGTAAAATAACTAGTCAATAAAGCAGAGGAGCCTGGGCACAAGAGGAGGTTGAATACAATGCTTAGGAAAACATAGAGACAACATGCAAAAGCTGCCAGGACTCCCTGAAGGTGCTTGGTTTCCACAAGGGTTGAAGCCAGGGATACCAGAAAACCAAAGGTAAACACTGGTGTTAATGCAGCATTAAATGACAAGGGCTTGGATTTATTTGGATATGTAATTAAAGATTGTATTCCATATAGATGAGGGATCCAGAACACAATGCTGACATCAGTATTTATTAAGAAAGAATAAATACTAAAAGCTGAGATACAGTTCAGCACCCTTCTGTGTGCCATGTGCACTCACTTTATTACAAACTTATCTGGTCCTTTAACATGACAGTGGTCTAAACTAAAATAGGTCTACACTTAAGCTTGTGCCATCAGTGCAATAGTTACGATTTTCCTCTTGTCGCCTCGTTTTCTTTTTCTCCCTGAACTTATCTATGGTTCTTCTCAAATGAAAAGCTTGGGGTGTCACATTTTCAGAGCCCTTAAGGGTGTTCTTGACAGCTCCACATTCTCCAGCTGACCCCTCTGGTCCTGTCAGGAGGCTATTTCCTTATATCCACTGCGTTGACGTTTATGTGGCTGTACCTTGTCTATGTCAGGCTATCTTTGATGAATAATTGTTTTAGGAAGGTATTTGTAAATGGATTGGCGAGAGCATTACGACAGAGGAAAAATGAAAGTGGAAGTCGTGAGAAAGGAGAGCCCGAATTATCAGTGGAATATTCAGAGTGTGATGATAAACAGGTGTGACATTCCCCTTATTGTCGCTGTGCCATGTCCTTTTTTTAGAAAAAGAACATTCACAGCCCAACCACAATCATGGGGGTCTTGATAAAACCAAGACTATGCTTTAAATCTGGTTAATTGAGTCATTCAGAAGACCAGTTGACTGATAATTTGCCAAATAAATTATCAGAAAAATAACCAAGTACTGAACACTTACTTTGGACCGCCAGCAGTTTACACGACAGACTATGGCACTGTCACATCACTTTTGCACTCTTACTAACTTAACAGGCTTTTAATCTTTTTTTTTTTACATAATATTCAGTATTCAATGTAAAATAACAAGACAAATATACAATAGGCCTAATCCAACCACTCACACTGTAGTTAGCTGGTTGGTTGTTTGTGCAACAGCATCTCAATGTGTGATTCCAACAAGTCGATTAGCAGCAGCGGCTGTAGAGTAATCTCATTTTAATCAGGACAGCTGCTTAAGGTGGCATCCTGCGGGCCTAGCTAATGTGGATGTGGCCTATAAGAGATGTGACTCAAACCACTAAAAAAAAAAGCCGGGTCACAATGTCTGTACCCTGAATGTGCAGATAGCAAAAGGCAGGTAAACGCTCAGATAGAACAGCCTCCTCATCCGGACTCCGCTCACCTGATTTTTGACGATGCCCCGTCAAGACCCAACGCATCGGTTCCGCTCGCTCTCCCATATCCCCTTCGACTGCAGCCAGCTTCAGCCTCGCTTTCCACGGGCACCGGCAACGGGTTAAGGAGGACGAATTCACACGCGTGTCTCCCAACAGATTTATAATAACCCCACAGACGTCATTACAACTGCAGCATGAATGGAGCCGGAGAAGAACATGAAAGAGCAGGAGCGTCCTCGTTAATCTGCCGGGTGTCAGGCGAACACGACAGGCTGCATGCCATCAAAGAGCGTAATCAAATACACGGTGGGTTTTTTTTTTTTTTTTTTTAAAGCCGCCCCGGTATCTGACGGCTTGGTTCTCGGCGTATTTACAACACGTCGTCGGCTGTGGCAGTCCAGTGAGAGTGGGACTTTTTCATGTAACCCCCGTCGGAACTCGATATGATGATTTCTATTTCACAGATGATAGCAGCGCCTCTGGTTTGACGATCTCTCTCTCCCCCCCCAACCCAACCCACCCCCTTGTTTCACGCGTTGTAGTCGACAGCCTGTGTGTGCCATCAGCCGGACAACTCCCGAACCTCAGCACGAATAGCAACTACACAAGAGGTAGCGTTTCCCAAGAAGCTGGCCCATCCCCTCGGATGTTTCTCCAACAAAAAAAATACGTAAAAATTCCTCTTCCGTGTTTGTTGCGTAAATTCCATACAATGCTCCGTTTACGCACACCTGGTTCCCTTCTTTTTTTGTATAAGGCAGAGCACAGACACTTTGGAGATCCTGCGGAGAAAGGGCGCCACCGGTGGTTTGTGAATATCAAGGAATCGGCAACAGATTCAAAGAGAGCAGTGTTTTTTGAGAGGCTGCCACTCCTCTTTGTGAAGTCACCCAAAAAAAACAGCCTGGGGAAAGGGTTTTAAAAAAAAAAAAAAATCAGAAAAGATTACGCTACCTGGTTTGTTAAATATTCTAAATTCCACATCATAAAACAATCAAGCATTGCTCATACAGGCCGACATTAAGGAATAATTCAAAATCCTCATTCAGTTTGAAAATGTTGACTCGGTGCTTAGACGTCAACCTCCCTCATTTACAGAGTTTTTTTTTTTTTTTAGTTTGAATCTAATTCGCAGTGTGCCCTAGTATCAAAGTTAAATTACCCGAAAACTCACTATTTGTACCGAGAACTATCTTGACACACTATTATCGTCTTGGGATCGACGTACACTGGGCGTGGATCAACGTCACTTCATTAAATAAACACATAAGAAATGGGTGTAGGGCCTATAACTGTCATGTGTCAACAATGCAGGCGAACAGGTGAAAGTTATAAATAAAAACAACATTTAAAAAAAAATACACGCTTAAGAAATAAACTAATAGGGACATTTGATTTCTCTGGTAACATGGTCGTCTGACTTTCACACCGCCTGCTGCCGTGACTGCGGCAAGACGGCTGACCTGACCTCAGTGCTAGGGGTTATTTGCCAGACATTGGCTGTCTAAAAATAGATCATCTTTGCCTGTAGCCTGTTAAGTGTACCAGTGCAACAGGATTCAATTTGTTAATGGCATATCATTTCCCTACTGTTGTCATAATAGCCTACATGCTATATGTGCAATGCCATTTAGGCTTCTTAAATTAAATGTAGGGAGCCTATTGCCGGAAAAATGTGATGCAGGATGGCTCTACATTATACAGAAGACAAAATCACGACTCATCTCCTCGTATAAACACTGAATAGCAGTCTTTTGGTAAGGAAAAGAAGATAGATCCTAATGAAAGGGGCGTGATGTCACTGGGCTAAGTGTCATGCCAGTTTAATTCTGCCCCACCAATTTCAAAACAATAGCCTATCCTAGTAATGTTATTTGACATCTCTTAGTTTAAAGTCTGTATTAGTGCCTTTTCATCTGATTTTATCAATTAGTCGTAATGTCCCTCTGACATTTCTTTTGAGGGTCAAGCCTCGCCTCGACTCCACACAGTAAAAGTGGCTTTAGAAATAATAATTTAAGGAATAGAAACAGTGAGACCATTTAATTGATGTTACCACTGTAAAAGTAGAGGCTACATGGAAGATGTATTTTCACTAAACATACACTATTTATCTGAATTATGTGTACAATGCAGTCTGTATATATATGTGTTGTTATTTAAGCTGTGTTATCTTCAGCAAATGGCTTGAAACACTGAGGCTTAATTTCTAGTTTGATTACATCCATGGATAAACAGTTTGTGATCTACAGCCATGACATTCTGCCAATATTCTGTCGTAAAACGTGTGACCTGGTTATATCGCTTATTACCTTTTCACGTAGGCTATAGGTAGTAAAAACTAAACTTTGTCATGTTGAAATAACCTTTATAGTCGCTCTTCAAACTCTCTGGATTATACTAGAAAAAGGCTTTAAGACCCAGAATGTAATCAAAGAATGAACTCCCCTTTTTCAGAGTACTCGATGGTACAGTCCAATCTCTCCTCCTCTGTCTCATTCTCCTCCCTCCTACTTCCAGTGTCCTCCATCTCTCCGCTTTCCCTCATTTTCTCTAACTAAGGACATTGTCACTACCAGAGCCTGCTGCAGTTGCTCCTCCGTCTGTAATCCTTGTTATCTCTGCAGAGCTTTTGGAGAGGTATGTAAAACACATATTTACTGTTATCACATCACTGCAGGATTTAGGGAGCATTTTTAAAGACATGTCCAGTCAATATTCTGTAAAAATATTCTGTTATGGCCCATTAATTAAATTTCAACTGTGTTACTCATCTTTTTTCCCTTTTTGTTCATTCTCACTGATTCCCTTGCAGTCACGTTGATCATTATGTTTTTCCTCCATCTTGTCCTCCATTTATAGCAGATATCATGACTCATGCAGTTTTACAGTGAGAGAACAGAAGGCAAAACTGAGGAAGAGGTTGTATCGACATGTTATAGCATCTGGATTGAACTCATCATGATCAAAGAAATAGAGATTCTGTTCTCATGCATGGTTGAGCTCTGCAGCTACATGACAGTAACTCTTCTTCCGTTACAAAACGAGCAAATTCTCCTGAGAAATGCTGCACACAGGAAGCTGATGTACGATTTACTTCTCTTGTGGAAGATAATGTCCCAGCTGCTGGGACCAAAATAAACAATTTCCTGTCCTCTGAGCATCGGAGTGTTTCCATCAATGTCATCTTTTTCCAAGGTCACTTTTTAGGCCCAACAACCACACGACTGCTTGACTGCTGTACAGTGGCTCGTTGATTTTAAGGGCACTTTCGTATGTCATCCACTCTTCATTCACCGGAGCAGATAATAGGATGTGTGAGCCTAATTTAGAAGATAATCTGTCTTTGTCTGTTTGCTGTTTTTCCTCAGTGAAGCAGCTCCGAGCTGACCTTATAAAGACTCCTCCTGACCAGACCACACCTCTGTCCCTGAGTCCATGGAAGCCAAGGCCAAGTCTGGGGCCCCGGCACCCAAGGCTGCATCTAAAGCTGAAAAGAAGGAGCCGGCAGCCCCACGCAAGAGTGACCCTGCCCCTGTAGCTCCTGAGCCCGAGCAGCCTCCTCCCCATGATGGGGCAGCAGAAACGGAAGCAGCAGGTGATGAGGCTGCGGCCTCTGGCACAGACTCTCTGGAACATCTGAAGCCGTTCCTCATTGGTGGTGCTGTTATTGCTGCAGGAGCCATCTTGCTGGGAGTGTTGCTACTGGCGAGGAGAAATTAAAACCAAGTCATTATCTCAATTGAAAGTATTTATTGGTTAATCAGCTGGAGCGCTATTGCTAAGTGGTTCACAGACTATGATACCTGGGGGATGGGGTGCCACTGTGCATCTATTTTTTGTTCTATTTTTTCAGCCTGCTTCCACTAGTAGTGAATCAAACCATTTAAGTTTGGATCAAAGCTGTATATGGAGCAAACTACAAATAGAATATGCATGAAGTTACTTCAATACCGCATCTGAACTGTAATAACCTATTTCTTAAAAAATGTACCACACTTTAGTGCTGAGCTTTAAACCGTAGACTCTAAATCTAGCTCCCTCAACTGCTTTATCTTTCTTTAATCTAGTTTGCACAAATGTTGACAAAAGCTTGCAATATTTGTACATTCCTGCACTGGAAATGAGATTGGTTCACTTTACTAAAAGATGATAAAAAAAACTGTTTTCATAATGTTGAAATTATGGATAATAGTGCTGGCTATCAGAGCTGTCCTAGTTTTTTTTTACTTCTGTATTAAACAATTGAAAGAATAGAAGTCAGTACAGCGGGGAATATGCATTGTGATGCATCGCACATATTGTGGAAAATTCCATGCCATCCCTGCATATTCGGAAAAAAAATCAAAATTGATTGCTACAGTGAAATTTCAAAAATCAACTTTTCCAGAGATAGAAAAGATGAGCATGCAATGATTAAGAAAGGATGTTTGGGAATGTTGGAGAAAAGTATACATAGTAGGTTGCAGAGAACAATAGTACTGTTACGTCTTGCTGTAGACTAAGAAAGAGTTTGTTTTTACTGTTAAAAAATGTCACAAATCAATAACCTTTCATGTCTTACACAAAAGCCACCATCATGCTGGTTCAACTGGTTTGCTACTTACAGTAAATATAGCTGGAGCAGGCTAACCAGACATCAGTGTTTCAATTTCGCTGCTGCATACACTTACCTGTACAGATGTACACAATGTTCTTCACTCACATTCAAGGGTCATTGGGGTGTTCCTGTTGCATCAGTAGATAGCAGATAGACAATTGTGATTCACATCATCACTTGATATAAGTTGTGAGGGGGAATATGCATTGCAGAACTTGTTCCTCGTTAAAAACTATTTTGTACACATACCACATTTACCACAGTTAACAACCTAAACCCATACAAAATATAGTATGCCAACACCAAAACAAACTTCACCTGACATTGTACGATACAGTGTACCAAAAAAAAGAAAGATACTATTTTCATAATTTCAACAGCGTATAAATGCAATAATTCAGATAGGACTCCTCATTTAGCATATGTGCTGTAGCAAGTTAAATTATATACAAGAGGATTTACCAATATATTGGAAGATGATGATGTAAGAAATGGCAATTATGGCGAGATAGCATGATGCGTATGATGGTAATACCATGAGTCACCATGAGGTCTCATGGTGACCGTACTGAAAATAATGATGGTTATGATATATTTTTGATATATTTGTCACGTTTTTCTTCTGCACACTCCCCTATGCCCCAATCTCCAAATGTAAAAATGAGAAAGGATGATATCTAACCTTTATTAAAGTCAGTGAACCAGTCTACATGAGTATTTCTTTCATAACATTCACACACACTTTTTAGAACTATTCAGGAAAAGGGAACATATATAGCTTCTGAATTATATATGTGAAGTTTTCTAAAATGAAATTGATCATTTATTGGAGTTGGCATGATTAATATCTCTCTGGCAGACATTAAAATCGTACACGTTCTGCATGATTAAATGCAGGAGGACATTACTTTTCTGTTAACTTTTGGCACAAGATTAATTCAAAATTTTCTATTTTGATTTGATTTGAGTTGAGATTTGAGTTAAATCTTATTGACAATCCAGCATGCCTTTCTTTTAGACTTTTATTTAAAGCTTTTCATGATTGAACCTTTAACAAAGTTGTAAGACCTGTAGAAGATTCCATATAGGCCTACTCAAGCAAATAAATACAAAGTAGAAATAAATACATGTAATGACCTGAAAATAGCTGCTCTCAAATTTAGTACATATTTTGAACACTAACAGCATGGCCTGAGTGTGAATATTGTACATAATATCCAAATCTGAGAACACATATTGCTAAAATATGAACTGAGTGTTCCTATTGATAAAGGCCTAGTCATGCTACAATGCAGGCGACAAATGACTACGGACTCAAGGAGAAGTCACTTGTCATCAGTTTTTGCTCAAACTGTTAAGTCAAATTTGTGTTGATAAAGCTTATATTTTGACATTCTTTTTAAGCAACATCACGTTAATACTTGAATCTCATCATCTACTTTTCTACATATTATTTTAATCTGAAAACCTCTGGACGGTAGGCTTTTATTGTGAAGGACGTGAACCGGGAGTATTGTTGTTGACGCAAGAACAGAGGGAAGCTACCATCACGTTTTCATCTAATTTCCCTCAGAATAACAAAAAAAAAACACTTAGGTTTGAGGTCAATTAGACTGTTGACGGTGAGTAAATAAAACTCGCAATATTTAAATCTACGTGTTTTGACTGAAAACCTTTAATCTCGTGGTAGCATGCTACTAGCGCCTCCAGTTAGCTAACAGCGCAGTGTTGTGCTAATCGCGTGGCTCTAGCTTACACTATTTTGGCAAACTTTTTTAAAAGTAAAATATAAATATAAATATTTTAAAACTAGGCTTATTTACGAACACTTCGCTGCATGCGAGAACGTTTTGTTAGTAGGCTAGTAGTAAAACAACTTCAGAAACTCGATTTCTAACGAGGAGATTACATTGCATGGTACCTGCAGAATACTTTAACACATTGATATATTACATACATTGATATATTACCCGTTGTCGTACATGTACCAATATATATAATCATTTCCCTTAGTAACTGGTGCTAGGCAGATATTTTCAAAGTGTGCTACTTTCCCCCCAGGTGTGCTACAATGATTATTCCTGTCCGCTGCTTCACCTGTGGGAAGATCGTGGGTAACAAATGGGAGGCATATCTCGGGCTACTTCAAGCAGAGTATACCGAAGGGTAAGATTTTTATATATATATATTATGATTGGACTTATTTGTAGGATAACATGTTATAGCCTGAAGAATAAAAGAGAACAATGAAACAACATACTCAACTTGTATGAAACCAGATTTTGAGACTGGGAAAAAAATGTTATTTCTAGAAATGAAACACACTTCTTACGTATTGTTGCCACTCCGTCCAGGTTTACGCTGAGTACCCAAATTGCTGGTGCATAGGATACAAATGTCACGGTTCAGGTCAGATCGCCAAAAGAAATGACTCTAACTGTGCATTTTAATAGCACTTCAAATCAAAATGCATCTCCATGTATTTTAATAATGTAACACATCCTCAATGCTACAATTCCAATAATAATAATAATAATACAAACATTTAGATAAACCTAAACTCTCCTGTTTTATAAAGTGCTTTGAAAAATTCTGAGAACAGCCTGCAGCGTCTTAATATCTGTAATAAATATTTTCAATTATATCATGCGTTACCGCCCTTCAGGGACATCAACTTTACAAATACTAAAAATCTGTTAGTGAATAACAACTTTGCTGTCATTTACAGAAACCTTTTTGCAATCTATGTTTTTCATATAAACTCTTACAGTTTTGAACATGTAACACACCTCCTTGTTTGTTTAGTGTATGCGTGTTTGTCTGCACTTGCTGCACATGCAGCACGTGTGAGCCAGAACCATATCTGGAGTTTTTGGGGTGACAACAGCATCCTGTAATCGAGTACGTTTTGCTAAGTTTACTGCTGCATTGCACAACAGGCCGTAACGTTACTAACATTAAGTTTCTTTATGATTTTATAAACAGCCACCGGTTGTTACATGCAAGATAAATACAGAGACGGTGGGATTAAATTTAGAAAATTCAAAGCGGCATTTGAATCAAAGAAACCATACACACTGAAATATCTACACTTTACTAGCCCGCCGTCTCTCTAAGACTTACTTGTCTTCCTATTTGTACAGCAGATGTCCGTGGCCCATCATGTGCGCCCTCACATACATGCACTAATCGTTTGTACTGACATTGTTTAATTTTTTCTAGATCCTTGCTTGTGTTGTGCTTAATCTCTGATGTACGTCGCTTTGGATAAAAGCGTCTGCTAAGTGAATTGTAGAATTGTAATTAAACACTGAATTTTTTTCACTGACACTCTGCACATTGATTTAGCGGTAGAAATACTGCCACGTTTTAATATCATGACATCTCGCCACACCCCTAATTAAAACCTTCAATAGAGTAGGGTTTTCTGGCACAACTTCTCCAGCTAGCATGGAGAATGAAAGGCTTGATTTAGATCATGGTCTAATAAGTGTTGCATGATATATCGATTCCTGCGAGGTTTTGAGTTGTCTACATTCACGAGTGATGGAATGAATAACATCAATTACCTGAGGCCATTAAGGTTGCTATGATGTTGTATTGTCTGGAGCTACCCCCATAGATTGAACTTATCTGTTTTGTATGTTATGCATTAGGACTAACATGATCTCCTCTCTTTCTCTTAAGTGATGCCCTCGATGCCCTCAGCCTGAAGAGATATTGTTGTCGGAGAATGCTCCTTTCTCACGTGGATCTTATTGAGAAGTTGTTGAATTATGCTCCACTGGAGAAGTGATTGTATCTATCTGGCCGCTTCCGAGTCCTGTTCTTTAGGGGGCTCTCCCATGGATAGTTTCATGTTATGTTCATGTGTGACAACAGTGAAGACTTAAGAACATTAGTTGGTGTATCTATATCATAATGCATTTTTCTCTAAATAAAACTAATAAATGACACTGCTGACTCTACGACTGGCTTATCTGGATACTACAATCTTCCTATGTGATCAAAATTAAAATGAGTTCAAATACGTGTGCTGTGTAAGAAAAGCAGCTTCTAAAAGCTTTTAGAAAATCAAGAGTTGTAATGTTCATTACATTTTCTTATTAACCAACATGATTTAGAGACTCAGATCACACCTTTGGAAACTTCATTAAACCAATAGAGTTGAAAAACATGCAGAGAGATGTCTCAGATTATTTCATACATTGTTGGAATGAACAGTCTTTAAGAATTTAAGTTTTCTGTTTCTAAGGTGTGATGATTTTATTAAAGTTCAATAATGATAATTGTAGTATAAACTATGTGACAGAAAAAAAATGAAACACTGGAAACCTTTTTCAGGGAATGTTTTTTAATTTGTAGACTTAGTACAAAAAAAGTGATGAAAACCTTACACTATTACATATGTTAATAAGAGGTGACCATGTGCATGCAGGCAACAACGTATTTTTAGAGCAGGTAAAATCCGAGTATTTACAGATGATTTCAAAACAAAAATACAGTTTTTGAAATAAGTCTTCAGTCATACCTCAGACTCCCACTTCTATACAGCTTGGTGTGGAAAAAGTATTTGCTCTGCTTCACACTTTATCCCTCCATCAGTCCGGGCCTTTGGAGAGAAAAAAATTATTATTAAAACCATATTTATACATATCGATTAAAGACCATAATTAGCCCCAGCTCGATAAAGAATGAGCCCTGACTGGTTATATGCTAATTCTCCATACAGCAAGAAAAGTACTTCTAAACATCACCTAGCATTTTATGCTGATTCATAGAACCATAAACCTGTAAACAATCGGATTGAATGAAAAGTTATGTTTCTCTTTTCTCGCTACATCACCTGTGAGCGTCCAAAGGCAGGGTAGCTCAGATCACAACAAACGGTGTCTCACTTTCCTGTTTGAAGAGATTTTTCCAACACTTCGGGTGTACCAGGTGTGTTTTAAACAGCAGCAGTAATGTGTGTCACGCTCATGAAACTCAGCTCATGTTTTGGCGCTGCAGCTCCTGGATGAGCCTAAGCAACGCGCTGTTGCTTTTTGCTCATGTGCGCTCTCCCATTTTGCTCTGCGCCCATTCCGCAGAGACCTCAGTGAGCACTGCCTCCTATCTAAAAGGCCTTTAATGTGTTAAAAAGGTTTTGGGTGGGTAAAATTGACACCAGAGACTAAAAGCCTACAGTTATAATGGTTTACCCAACAAAAACAAAAACAATCTGCACTTTGAGCACCACAGTGTAATATAAGTAGATAAATTATTGATGAAATGAACACTACATACCAAAACAACTCTCAGACTGCTGAAGTGTTTTTGGGCCAGAAATGCACAGTAGGGTCAAGAAACGAGTGGGCATTTGTACTATCAATCATTATTTGAATAGTGCCAATTCATAACAAGTGTTAGCTAAAGACGATTTACATAAGAGCATATGGGATGATGTGCAGGAAGGATTCCTCCTGTTCCTGTTGTCCACACTTCCTCACTACTAGTATTCCATGTTAAAAACATTTGATGATATTCAGTCACTTTTACAAGACAATTTAAAACATAAATTTTTATAAGACAGTACTACACTGACTTGACATTATTTTGGCAGGTTTTTCTGTTGTGGTTTTAATGAACTCCAAAAACACAGAAGCTCAATGGGATACCATGTACGAGAAAACTTCACACTGGAACTGACAAAAAAATGAAATCATGTGTTGATAAAAAAAAAAAAGGCATGAGAATATATTTGTCTTTCTATTTGAGGTAAGCTTACCAAGTTAGCGATATCGGTCTCTGTGGTCTCTGTGATCTCTCTGATCTCTCTGTTCTCTGTGATCTCTGTGCCTTTCCCGTTCCCGTGAGCGCTCCTTGTCCCTCTCGGCGCTCCAGGAACGTTCTCTGCGTCTTCGAGACATTCCTGTACCTTCCCAACCAGAAGAATCTTCTCTCTCACGTTCTCTATCACGCTCTCGCTCTCTGTCACGACCCCTGTCCCGGTCTCTGTCTTCGTCCCTAGAGCGACTGCTGCCCCTGTAAGAAAACATATTTGTTTGATACTTCTGTCTTTAACCAAAGTGTTGGCTAGTTTCATCCTCAGTTTCAGTTTCTTATGAAAAACAAGATGCATCAAATTTCGTCGTGGAGCCAAATTGAACATACCTGTAGCCGTAGTTGCCCTGGATAGAGACCAGACAGTCTTTGAGTGAGGTGACCAGAGCTTGGCAGCGCTCGTCTCCATACACTCTGGACTGCTTTATGATGGCAATGGCGGTTAGAAGTGTCTCCATGGCCACCCGCAAGTCTCCTGTATCAGCAGTTTGACAATTAACATGGTAGACAAAGTGGCTTTTTAATGGTTAAGCAATTCTAAGTTTCCAAGTTTAAGATTGATAAACAAAAAATGACTCCCTGCTGACCAATCCATTGTGCTCAAGCACGAATCCATGAAAGGTATGTTTTAGAATTATTACTAAAGCACTGAGTATCTGCAAGCGAACACACAGGAACCCATTGTTAATGTAAAACCATCTCTGCAACAGTCCATTAATCAAGTCTGTATGATATATCTGCTAAATGGAAAGCACTTCCAAATAAAAGGGCATATGGCTGGAGGTTGCCAAAAAGCCAATTAACAGACTCTTGGAGCATTGACAAAAGCTTTGATTGCCAACTCCTGCGCATTAATGCCCAGCACTATGGCAGGTGAAAACCTCTGCTACACATTAACTGACAACAACACAAAAACAGCTGAACCAGAAGAACACACAAATCCTGGACAGGAGTGAGGAATCACCTTATGGGATTACAATGACTCAAAGCACACAGCCATGACAACGCTGGCAGGGCTATGGACAAATCTCAGTTTGTTCTTGGGTACAGCAGCCAAAGTGTGGTCTTGTACCACAGTGAAAATCAAAAGTGACAAAACTTGGACTCTAAGGTTTCCTATTTTAGTCTGACAGAGCCGAAGAGGATCTACCAGAATAAAGATCCAAATACAGATGTGCACAACTGGTGGAGGCATCCCCCCTTGAAAGATTTAAATACACTTAAAAGCTACTTTCTCAATGAGAAGCGCATGTTGGCTAGAAAAGTCACTCATCAATAAATCCTTCAAGCGGGAGCTTCTTGATGTGCGGATCTTGGTTGGTTTTTCTTTCCACTAGAGACACAACACCATAGGGAAGTTTAGAAATGACATTTTTAGGCCTCTGTTTTTTTGTCTCAGCTCTTGACAGTGGTTTGAAGGGGATCTTTAAAAAAAAAAAAAAACATGTTTGTCAAAAATAAAATTAGAGCCAGTCACATCTCCCTATGGCTTAATAAAGTTATTTTTACTTTCTTCCACTTCACAGAATCAGTGCAGCTGTACTTACCAGCTGTTGCTCCAGACACAGCCTTAGTGATGGCACTGCTCGCGACAGCTCTATTTCTGTTCATAAGCTCCTCAAAATCTCCATCTGTACTCGGAGCTGTGTTGCTGAAAAAATACACAGATTGTTGTCATCCTGACTGACAGCATCATTTTATCAACAAAAGTTATCACTTTTAAGTACTATTACAAAGATGCTAAATATTCATTTGTTGTATGATCCTTAATACATTCCATGTGCTTTATTATCTGAATATGTACTGTGCTTCTGTATTCCTCTTTGTTTCTGACAGGGTAAAACAAACTGTTTATTGTTTACAAAGCTGTAAAAAAAGATATAATTGTCCGTTCTCACTTTTGCTGGCTGTACACTTTGCTGCTGTGTCCATCTTGTGCAAAGAAAGCTGGATTTAAATGCAGATTGGGAGGTGGTTGACTTGGGACATGTACTGGAGGAGGAGGAAACATATGGTGCGGCAATGGCGGAGGGATGTTAGGTGGCATGTGTGGGAAAGGAGGAGGTGGTTGACCAAGGAAAGGATTGGGTAATGAGGGGAACCTGTTTGGAAGTGGAGGAAAAAGGGGAGGTATAGGTGGAGGACAGGACTCCTGTGATAACAAAGAGGGAATCTTATCTGAAGGTTCACAGTCTTTAGGATCTTTGGCGTTAGCACGCAGCGGTATACCTACAGAGAGAAAACACATTTTTTTGGAGAGATTAATAATAAAGTAAATCAATGAGTTGCTTTTCTTAAGATGGAGTAGCTCTTACGTTTATTTGCAGTGTCCTCAAAAATGATGAGATTCTGGCGAGTGGCAAAGCGACAGTCTATCTGAGCCCCGTTGAGTTCACACTGAGGTATTTTTTCCAACAATGTTTTTAATGATTCTTCCGAGGTTACGACCACTTCTGCGTAGCTGCACAGAGTACAAGAAACAATGAATGTAGAAAGCAAAACACGGTCACAGGAATCTATATCAGAAATAGATGAATACGCAAACTCATAATTTTCACAAAAAACACACAATTTAACAACACGTTTTTTTCTGGACATCTTTCCATTCTTCCTAAACCACTCACCCTCTTGACTGGCCATTAACCCGGTTCTCAGCAAATTTGATGTCTGTGATGTCCCTCACACCCAGCGTTTGAGCCATGGTTATCAGGTCCTTATCAGATGTCCACTAGAGGCAGCGGCAGGTTAGGAAGGAGGGGTATGAGAATATATAAGTTAGGTTGATAGTTAATATGATCTTGACAAATAGTACAACTCCTGAAGACACTTGAATAGGAATATTTCTTATATATGTTGGGGGAAAAGTTGAAGAATATTCACTGTCTTGAAAACTGTTGCAAAGCCTAACATAAAGAGTCAGATTATTACCTGGCACTTAAATCAGGCTGTGGTATTAAAGACGTGTAAGGGAAAAATGAAATATTAATATATGCACCAAAAGGGGTTGATCTAAAAATTCAGCTTATCCGGTATAAATCAAGACAAACCTTGGATAAGCTTTTGTTGTGCACTACTACCCCTCACAGTCAAGAGTGGAACAACCCCTTAGAGATCTCCTATGAAGTACAGTCCATTATTCCATTCCAATAAGATATTGGAAATTTGCCCTTAAAATTGTTTATTTTCCATCTTCAGGAGAAAAACTCTTCTGCGCTGTCACACAGAAACTCGGGTCAAATAATTTAATTCAACATATGTAAAGGGCAGGGGTAACAGTGCTCTTTGTAAAGCAGAGGAGAGATGTGTTTTGCACACAGACCAATCTGCTGACCAGAAAATGTTCTGATAGTTCGACAATCTAAACAATAGAAGAGATGACACTCGACCTAAAAGGTTTAGATGTAACCAAAGCCACTTATTGAAAAAAAAAGAAAAGAAAAAAAAAGGTGCCCTTGGGCACAATCCCAAATTTAAACGTATCATCTTATTCTCTCTTTGCCTCACGAGTGAATATATGTAAACTGTTTACACCCCTGACTTGTAAATGTACCTGTTATAAGCCTCTTTGAGTTTAGACAGGGATCAAATGATAAAGACAAAAACTAATAGTTAACTAATATATCTTTCTATTTGCATAAAAAACAGTCAGTCTGGTGAAATGTTTTATTTGTCAATATTATGGTAGGCTACCTGAAATGAGAGGACAAGAATTCCTGAAATGACAAAGTGTTTTGACTAAATGATGAAAGCAGGTTGTATATTTTAAACCAAGTTCAAGCCATGTGACCGCTTTTATTTTTAAGAAAGAAAATTTTACATTTGTCTTCTTTGTGTCAGTATTTCTGTTGACGTTGCATCTTAGGTCTGCTTCATTTTCATTTATTTTTAAGGGAAACTTTCTTTCTTTTTTTTTCTTTCTTTCTGTTCTGTTACATGGAAGAAGTTCTGCAAACACAAGTGGACATAACAGAAATTGTACTGGACGATACATTACAAAAGTTATCAACATTAACAAAGGGAGGGTGTTACTCACCCAGGGGAAATTTCCTATATATAAAGACAGTTTCCTTGATGTGTTTCCCGTTTGCTTGCTGCTTTTTACGTTTGTAGATAAAGCTCCCTGTGTAACTTCAGCTTCTTTCGGAGGCGACACACTGTTGTTTACTTTCTTGTCCCGGTCGACTGAGCCAGTCAGCACAGCATCATAAAGTTCATTCGCTTCAGCAAGTCTGTCCAAATCCTGCAAGATAAAGAACACAAATGAATGAATCGTATGCGCCTCTCTCTGTGTATCTCAATGTGAATAAATCTTTGTTACTTTGACAAAAAAAAAAAGACATTTAAAACTGCGATCGATTCAAACAGGTGAATTGATGCGAGCGATGAATTGAGTTTGAGGTCCTCCAAAGAAAAGGTTTCGAAAACTATACAAGCACAATCCCTGAGGGTTTAGATGCATTGGTTAAAATAAGAAACAGGTAATCATTGCTCACCTCATGATGTTGATCCAGATCACTGTAAATATCTACATGAGCCGCCACAGAGGAGCCTGGCTCTGCTGCAGGTGCTGCAGCAGCCATCCCTGAGGCCTACAGGGATCCAGTCGATGGGACTGCAGGAAGTTTGTTCTTAGTGTAGTTTGTGTCTGTAAACATCGACAGGAGCTAAAAAAAAAAAAAACTAAAAAAAAACTGTGTTTGATTGAAAATGTGTGTGAACGTTCGCCTTGTGTCCAACGTTAGCTAACGTTAACTAAGGCTCGGCTCCAGTCATCAAAAACACACGTTTCCTTTAAAAGATCAAAACAGTACCGCGAATATAAGACAATAAATAATATCTAAATTAATATTTCGCAAAAAATGCACTGCATTTAATTAAAGAGTGCACATTTTAATACCATTGGTCTTTGAAAAAAGGTAATGCTAATGTTGCTAATCTTTCAGTACGTGAGTATGGAGAGCCGTTCTAACTCTACCGGAGAGAAACAGAAACAAACATTTGGTTCCTTCTGACGAGCTCCTTCATATTCTTCATGTTCTTCATATTCTTATGTGATTAAAATACATAAAGCGTGCCCTACTGGAAATATACTGATAATTATATAAGAGTATTACAATCCTTAACATTACCACTTCGATTCAATTCACGTATTCCTAAAGCTAAATAAACCTAATTGGTTTTTTTGGTTTTTTAAAAAGACAGAAATATGACGTCATGTGCGCGCTGTTTCCTGTCCCCTCGGTGGTTTCCGGTGTTTTCTCGTTTGTTACGTGAAGCCGTGAAGGCTGCTTGTGTAATTTCAGTGTTTTGTTTTTCGACATTTAGGCGTCAGAGACATTGCTACGGCAGAAGAAGAAGAAGAAGAAGTCCATTCAGAGGTCTCTCTGCGTCACAACGAAGAGGGTTGACATGTTGTCTGCTGCTATTGCAAAAAGAGTGAGTTTCATTTATATTGTGCATTTTTTCTGTTGAACTTGGAGGCATGTAGAGGACTGTAAAACAAATGTAAGAAACTGATTCAGTGTGATAATATCATTTAAGGTTTAAGTCACTAACTTGAACTAGTATTTTAAAGTTGTAACATTGGCGTTAATATAACTTGAACAAGGATTGTGTCCTGCTGGAGGACAGTTGTACAACAGCGAGGGTTATATTATGTAATCCCCTTCTCCTCTCCTTTGACTTTATCAGTGTGTTTATATACTAAAGGCTCTCTGTTGTATGAGATAGATTGAAAAGTAACACATCAGATTACATAGTTTGAGACTTCACATGTATATGAAACACACAAATTGTGTTTGTTCAAATGTGTGTGTGTGTGTGTGTCTGTTGCCTTGCAGCTGGTGACAGGTTTGTGCCAGGGAGCATGGAGACCAGCAGTGACAGGAGGGCTGGTATCATCTCGTAGTTACCGCGGAGAGGCACCAGAGGATACCAGGGGTGACCTTATTGAGATCCCTTTGCCCCCTTGGGAGGAGAAGCCCGGTGAGCCCACTGACATCAAGAGGCGCCGTCTACTGTACGAGAGTCGCAAGAGGGGCATGTTGGAGAACTGCATCTTACTCAGGTTAGTGTGTGTGTGTGTGTGTGTGTGTGTGTGTGTGTGTGTGTGTGTGTGTGTGTGTGTGTGTGTGTGTGTGTGTGTGTGTGTGTGTGTGTGTGTGTGTGTGTGTGTGTGTGTGTGTGTGTGTGTGTGTGTGTGTGTGTGTGTGTGTGTGTGTGTGTGTGTGTGTGTGTGTGTGTGTGTGTGTAAAAAGCCACAATAATGTGCTATGATTGTGTGACAAACTTTTTAACTTTCTTTGGTTGCTTTCAGGTTTTTTTTTTTCTTCATTCTGCCCACTCTTGTAATGTAATGAGTACGGTAGGAGGGATGAGAAGTAGGCGTGAAACAGGGGAGAGCAGGCACTGTGTTGTGGTGGATAACCATTTATCTCATAATCAAGTCTTATTCACCACAATAAAACATCAAATGGGTAATTCTGAGTAGTGTTTGGAGACAAGAAGGGTAGGAGTAGGAACATGACAGAGGTAATGGTTACACCAATACAGAGACAAGTTTTTTTTTATTTAGGAAAAATATAGAATAATACAAGTGTATGGAGGTTGTGGGGAGATTAGAAGATGTCTGTTTATCATATTTTGAGAAGAATATAAGAAGAATTCAGAATAAGTCTGTGATTTAATGTATGGGAGCCCAAAGAAGAATGTGCACATTCTGTATACAATCATTAACTCTGACTTTCAATTGAAAAAAGAAAATCCTTTCAAAACCAATTGTTCAACTTTCTTGCAGCCTTTTTGCAAAGCGATACCTGAACACAATGAGTGAGAGCCAGCTGCTACAATACGACAGACTGATCAATGAACCGAGCAATGACTGGGACATTTACTACTGGGCAACAGGTGAGAAAATAGTTCATTTCTGTTCCTGAGTGTCTCCTCACATTCAATTTCAGCTTTGCAGCATAACTATTGTTAGTGCAAAGAACAAATATTTAACTTGTTAATTGTAAGCATCCCAAATCAAATCCAACATTTTGAAATTCAGTCAGTAGAACAATAAAATATACATTTTAAATAGAAGGACTTGTTATAGGCTTTCACTCGTGGCTGCTTATACTAATTGATGTTCTTAATTACTGTCCATGAATAACTTACTGTTTTATTAATTTGTTGTAACTATTAATAAGATTGAATATGTTGTCAGTATATCACAGTCTCTACACATTCACTTGGCAGCACAACTCTAGAAAATCAAACACTTATTGTTGAAGACTGACTTCATTGCATCCAGGCATCATTAAGTCACTCATTGTGATGGGTGTATTAATATATCAAAAGTTTGCTTTACATTTAAAAAGTTATTCAAAATAAATTATGAAGAGAATTATAAACACATTACAGTCGGGGATCTGAGACTCAAATGTCTTCCACAACGATGCCTTATGGTTTCTTGTCTATGAAGGAATCACTTAAACATCATAAAGTCTGAAGCAAAACATCATGTTAGTGATAAATAATGATGAAGAGGATAAATAGGAAACTCTTCTCCTCTTTGCTTTCAGAAGCTCAGCCCACCCCTGAGGTTTACCAGGGAGAGGTCATGGATATGCTGAAGGAGTTCACAAAGAATCGTGACCAGGAACAGAGGTTAGACGCACCCAACTTGGAGTACCTGGACAAGGAAAGTCAATGAGGTCGATGGACCTCTGGACCTTCTCAGAGACTCATTTTAGGTGGGACAATGTGTGAAATGTAAGGGTCATAACCCTCCAGGAAAGTCCTACATATGACATACTGTCGCCAAAACGGTCTCAGTCCAATGTTTAAGGGAGAAGAATCTGAGAAGCCAAGAGAAGTTTGTAGACTGATCGACATTAATGCAACACAGTATGAAGCTGTTCTGAATATTTTTGCATTCATTGTATTGTAAATTTGTGATAAAAGAATGTATTTAACTGCTGAGTTTGAGGTGCAAACTGAACAAACCAACTTTGACAAACATACAAGCTAATTGTCTATGTGAATACCAAAACTGTATCCACTCACTCATTAGCCAAGCTTGTTTAATATTCATGGTTTTCTTCTGTTCTATGATTTTACTGTGCCTATATTACATATTGGGTTATTTAATAAATCATGGTGTGTACTGTTATTTGCTGCTTGTGTCTGGTCTTTTATTACTACTTTCATATAATATGGGGTTAAATCACATATTGAAGGTGACCATGATTGACACTGAGCATTTGTTACACAACAAAGCTGATTTGGCCTGCAGTACCTGTTAGTGGACACCAGGGGGAACCACATCACCTTAATCCAGTGACTGTCAAAATGAAACAACTGCTGTCCTGATCTGAGAAAAATTGCTCACCTGTAATCCATAGCACACATGTCACATACCTTACATATATCCTGCAGAGAGAAATGCAAAAACAACACTTCATAGCTCCAACTTCTATTTGAATGACTAAACCTTTAATCTTAAATTTACCAACGATAACAAAAATAAGGTGCAAACAATCTGAAAATACACTCATTAAATCAAATTTCTTTGGGATGGATGGGACCCTATTAACAGAATAGGCTGCATGTTTTTATTTCAAATGAAAAAGAATCAGGGAAACTTTCGTCTACGCCAGTTTTCTAATTTATTCACATATTTTTGCTTCAAGACCTTACCTATAGACAAGGTCATTATTATTTCCCTCCTCCAGCTCTGGATCAATGTCTGTTGACCATGGGATAAATATCCTGCCTGGCTGTGTGTCATGTCGGTTCAGTGGAACCTTGTACTGAGAGCAGAAGGGAAATGCCCTCTGGCCAGGAGATGTGCTCAGAATCTCAAAGCAGACGACTGCCTCTGTACGCCCATGGAATAATAATGTACACATGATCCACTGGTGAGCTGTTACACAAATGAGACAATCCTGCAGAAATAACACCAATGTTGATGTTTGTTTTTCTTTGTTACTTTATGTCGAGTAAGAATCTCAGCCTTCCATTTTTATGTTCGCAGGTTGTCCCAAAGTGTTGTCAGGGGGGTGTCCCTGTGTTTTGCTCTTCTGCCATCTGTGTCACCTTATGTCCTAATCAATGCAGACAGGTAACAAAGAGCATTTATTTAAGAGCAGTATTTCAATTCATTTTGGGGAATTGTGGCAAATTGGCATTTTCTGCAACTTTCTATTTACAATCGGATACGTTTCAGTGCATTACCTATTTTGACAGTGCAAATTAAGGCTTTGGTTTTACACCAGCAATTATATGATTAACTTTCAAACATAATGTACTGTTCAAGAAAAAACACAGAGGACTAAACTAGGGATTCTCAACATTTCTTTCAAGACCTTTTGGAGTTATTAACACCAAAGACTGAATCACCAATTGAATCTTGGAAAGGCCTGGTTAGTAGTTTAGTCTTACCTAACTGTATGTAAAGTTATTCAAACTAAATGACCATGCACTACAAACTTAAGTATATTTGAGAGTCATTAAAAGCGATCCTCACTGGCTGTGATAATCTCCTGTCTTGACAAAAAAAAAAAGATGCCACCTGTGGATCTAACAAGCAGGAGGAGCAGAATTCCATCGTTCTCGCTCGAAGGCTTGTTTGGAGTGTGTATTCATCAGTTGCCCACGCACACCCACTGTGCCTATCTGTAGCCCTGTGCTTCTGTCATCCTCCACTGCTGCTTCCTGTGTCGTGACAGCTCTCTGTTTATCCTCATTCTTGCCGTCACCCTCCGCTCCCCTGGAATTTCAATCTCATGTTCTCTCTTGTTTCTTCTCTCCTCCGCCACCAACACCATAAGCATCCCAGCCTTCATCATGTCTTCACATGTCTCCTGGAGAGTCGTGAGCAGAGGGAAGCGGCTCTCTCTGCTGAGAGATTCTTCTGCCACGCTTAACTTTGAGCGTGTTAAATAAGTTGGTAAATTAGACAGCCTCTCTCAGCAGGACATATGAAACACAGTTTTTACTCAGAGGTTATCTTGTGTCAAAGATGGAGTGAACACACTGTGGGAGGCAGAACAGGCAATTACTTTAATTCTAAGGAGGAGCACCAACTCTGAAGACCTGTGAAAATCACTCGTACAGTCGTCGACCTATTTCTGTCGAGCTGGAAGAGAAGGAATAATAAAGAAAGCACATGTATATAATCTCTGTATAACCAGATGTGTCTATTATATTAGTGGCTTTCTGAGTTTGTCCGTGTATTTGTAATGTATCTTCTACTAAATTAACTGATGGTATCAACACCCTCAATCTATCAAAGTGAGATTGAAAGTAATTTTGCAACGACTGTCTTGGAAATATGTGATAGAGTCTACTGGTTTACACTTTGATCTCTAGCTTTCAGATGTGCTGAAGATTGAATGCTTTGAAGATGAGCTGCATCACTTTTAATACCTTAACTTTGTTGTTTCTTTACTTGAGTAGTTCTAATTGAAGCCGTTGTAATACTCTCAACATTTCAGGGGAAAACATATATTTAAACTTCATCAGCTGTTACAATTTACATTTCAGATCAGTATTTAACATTTAAAAAACAAAAAACATGACTATAAGGTATCCTTATTTATAAAAAAATATATATATAACTTTGTTTTTTCAAAATGCTGAGACAATGAAAAAAGAACCCTAAGATTTATTTGGTGACATTTAAGAGGGGGGTTTATTCCTCTTGGAATCTCTGGAACAACATACTCAACATCGCAGTTAAATATGAAGTTTTAAATGTAGTTTTAGAGCCTTTTTTGCCCGGAGAGATCTGTCTAACTTTGATTCCTGAAGTACATGTTGTTGATAATGCTTGCCACTTTGTACTTTTACTGATTACTACTAAGGCAGGATTAGGACTTTAAATTATATATTTCTTTATTAATGTTTGATACCATTAGTTAAGTAAAGGATGTGAATACTTCCCTTAAGGCCTTTGTGTAGAAAAAAAAATACACAACTGTCTTGAAAAAATAGAAAAACAAGCTTAAAAAACAATCAAAACAATATCAGAGTTTTCTTTGTTTTATATACACATTTATGTTTTTATATACACTGTACAGGTTTAAAAAAAATAAATGGTTGATATTTGACATTGTGCACCCCACGGATGTGTACTACAAAGAGAAGAGGGCGTGAGAGAGGGGCTGAGTGATACCAAAGACAGACAGATATCATCAACCCCAGAATATACTGATGATTTTTTTCTCTTTTTTTTTCCATACAGGACACTTCACATTCATTTGTACAGTATATCAGATATAATGTTGCTGGTAAACCTCTCTTTGTCTCAAGCTTTCCCCCACAAGAGAATGCCCTAAATCAGAAATGCGAGCGTGTCCAAGAATAAGTACCAGAATATGGCAATTGGCTAGTGAAGAGTGTAGACGGACAGATCTAGCTCGATTCCTTAAAAGCTAAAAGACACCAAACCCTGACTTTTTTGAAAAAGAAAATGGTACCTGCATTGATTTAAGTGACTTTCACTAAGCCTTTGGAATGTAACGCCTTGTTTAACACACACAGGGCCATCAGGACAGACTGTGTTATTTTGGGATGCTCCAATGCTCTGACCTGAGATGTAGCTAACAGTGATGCAAAGAGGTGATGATTATCTCCTCTCTCACTTTTCTTTTTTCTCCTCCCCCCCTCCCTGACACTTGGAGGGAGGGATCACATATGGTGAAGAGCGAGGCGTGGCAGGGTACATAAGGCACACACAGAACACTTTGTGCCAGAAAGCATGTGTGCACAATGGGAGAGTTTCGGGGCAACGTCAGCAATGATTTCAAGGTGCCACCCTTCTTTTTATTTTGGTCTTGATGAATCATAACGGACCAGATTAGAAGGACAGAAAGGACAAAATATGGTCATCTAATTCTGTTTGCAATAAAATCCATTGCTTAATGGTACAACAAAAGTTTTTTTATTTAAATTTAGCATGGCTGTAAAGCTCATTTGTGTGGTTTTTATCTTTGACCTTGGCTTTCAGCTCGTGTATAACCGATTTGCCTACCAGACCAAAAGTCCACTCATGAGGAAAATAACACGCTATTAAGAGAGGTTTGTTCCAGCATCAGCTTCAACGAGTGCAGTGAATCTTAAAGAAGTGACGACTTTAAAAAAACAAAACATTTCTTTGTACATCTGGATTGTTTCATACAGAATAAAAACGGTAAACAATGCGGTTCTGTATTAAACTGGCAAAATAGAACTCAGTGCAGATACATGTATATATATACACACACACACACACACACACACACACACACAGAGACTCACAGAAAATACAATCACACAAACTAAACTTTCAATATTGACACTCACCCACAATGCAAAACACATACTAACAAACGCAAACACACATCCAGAAGACAAAAACAAACAGTGGAATGTAAAAAGACTTTTCCCCCCAGATATTATTACTCTAATTTGTTTCCACTCATCTGGTCAGCACAGACCTATACAGGACTCAGGGGAGGTCACATTCAGGCAGCGAGGCAAACAACTGGAAGACTGACTTCTAACTTCAAAGACCTCACAACAACAACAAAAAACAGGTCCAATAATGATACTTGGACTCAGTGTTTGGTAAAAATGAAAAGGTAGGATGTAACAGCTAATCCAGCTGTACGGCTGACAGTTATGTTGTTACCTGGGTGACACTGATAGCGCATTTACATTGATCTCACCTCATCTGATTTCTCAACATACCGTATCCATCTGTAACCCTAATAGAGCCATTAACCGCCTGCATTCATAACATGCGAGTTTAGCCGAAGCAAGAATATTGTTTTGATTTTCAGATCAATTACATTTGACACCTGACAAAAAATATCATTGGCAGTGCTGTTTTGTTTCATTATTTCTTATTAATCTTCTGCAGCCTAGGGCCTATTTTATTGCCCCATCATTGATGTTTACCACATAATGATATAACATTCAGCTGTGTAAACCATTTTTTCTGAGATTTAAAAAAAAAAAAAGCCAGTAAAGGGACCTTTAATGCAGCCTTTTTAACGTGTTGTTAAAATAAAATGCCCCTGGCAGCATCATGAAATAAAAATCTGTTTTAGTTTCCGGTGTGCTACTTCAACCTGTCCAACCTCTTAATAGTGACAAAAGAACATTTAATATAAAGCTTGAATAAGTGTTGTTGCTGAGGCCAGATTTCGTTGTCGAATGTTTTTCTCCAGTCACAATGAAAACCCTTTCACCGAGGTGTTTTTCAATTAGCTGATTAACACCGATTTTTTTTCTGGAAAGACAAGCCACTGTTACATTTTTCACTAAAGCCATTTCAAACACTGTTAGCACCACAATGAAATCCTATTGATCTGCTTTGCATTTGAATATGGCAGCAGCAATTCAGGGGCAAAACCCCAGTTAAATACAGCAAATGCCATCAGCCCGCCTTTATACCACCAACAGTCAATAGACAATACTGTGTGTGTGTGTGTGTGCGTCTTTAATTTGAGTGAACCGACCCTGAAACCTAATAGTGACCTCCCCAGGTCTTCAACTAACTGCAACACCACACATTTTAACAATACCTTCATGTTAAATGATCAAGGGAAATGCTGTTTTCTACAATATCTCAAATGTATCTGTTCAAGTCCACAACACTGCCTCATTCACACAAACACATTCAAAATCCCACACCGCCACACTTCTAGAAGCTGGCTTTTTGCTTATTTTATGTGCCTGGAAGAACAGGGTGATTCTCTATTTTCTTTTGGAAAGAAAAAATCAATACAAAACAACAAAAACATTAATTGTATTCTTTTTTTCCCCCTGTCGACTGGGATTTCTTTTTTTCCAAATAGTAGGAAGGTTTTTTTCACACTTGACCTGTGGAACCAGCTTTAAATGTTCATGTTCATATCCTATTTTCTTTTCTTTTTTTTAACTTCATTTTGGGTTACGGCACATCACCCACAGCACGCACAGACAACAAAGGGTTCCAGCCGGGGGAGAATTATTACAGTGGTGCCAAAGTGAGAGTAAGGAGTGGAAGTGGAGGCCAATTCCAGTCCAATTACATTTTACATACAGCATATTTCTCTTCCTAAGCTTGTGTTGAATTTCCAGATTTTTTCAGGGTGTAGAAGAATAATGACAGTACCGTAAGAAGAGTTGAAGACAGTGGTAAGAAACAGAGGGGGAAATTCCTCACCAACACCAGATGAAAATGGTTGCACAGGTTTGAACACAGCCCATCTTGCTGCCCCAGAGGATCACTGGAATATCAGCTTGATCCATTTTTGGTTGATAGTTTGTATTTATGGGTGGCAAGATGTGCTGGTCATGTTAAATACCAGGCATGTTTGACAAGGTGGAGGGCAGACTGAGGGGTATCTTTAAAAAGACAAAAAAGGAAAAGAGCATACGGAGGAAATGAGTGACGACATCAAAGACATTTAAGGAATGAAAGGGGGGGTCAGGTGGGAATCAGAGCCTGACAAGAGTGAAATGTAAGGATGGCGTCACAAGGACTGAGGGCAGAGGATATCAAAGAGGCCTGAGAACAAAGAGATGACAGACATTATCTCCAGCCAAAGACTGCAGTTAGGGAGAAGAAGGGGTATGTGCTGAGGGCAGAGTGATGCTGGATTCTGGGGAGGGAAAGCCTGTAGGCAGGAAGGTTGCTTGGTCCCTCAGGCCTTCAGAGCGTGCCACTGGGCCACGGCATTACGAGGGCGACCCATCATGTCTTTCCAGTGTTTTACTTCTGCAGGGCCACTCTTCCAGGAAAGATAAATCTGCAACAAATAAAAGTATCAGTGTATCTCTTGTAATGTCCCACAGAGGTTGATTTTATTGGTGGAGAGCTTTTCCCCAAAAAAAGCTGTGGGGTATTAAGAAAGGGAAAAAAAAACTCACTGTGAGTGTTAAGTCTAGCCCTGCTTTCGGCACTAAGCCTGCCACTCTAATAGGAATTTAACTCAAATCCAGGGCAGAAAAAAAGCCTTAAGAGGAAGAGATTTCACTTGCTGAATTACTGTGAGAAGGCTAATGCTGACACTAATGAAGATCAGACACTAAGTAGAAAGGAAATCAAGATCTGTACATGTCACAGAAAACACTGCTGAAGTTTTCCATTGTCCTCCAATCAAACACAAGCTATTCAGATTGTGATATTATAGGCTGCATGTTCTAACTGTTGAGTGTAGGCAGATCATTTATACAGTTAGACAGGTAAGTATAAAACCTGCAATTACTGTAGTAGTGTATGAATGACAGAGAACACAATAGCTCATTATTAAATGGAGATTACTCTTACAGTGTCTAAAGGACCAAGGATTTGATTTCAGCTTGGGGATCTTTTCATTTCATAATATATCTTATCTCGGAGCTCTGTATTCCATTAAAGTACATATCTGTACTTACTGAGAAGGTGGGTTTGGTTTAAATAAATAAGTCAGTCAGTATTCACAAGGACTATGATCTACTATGGTTGAGAAAAATACTCAAATTGAATTTAGCAATGGGGAAAATGGGGGAAAGAAATGGAATAATGCAACAGCAGAAACTCATTTTGGAGTTTAAATTCTTGATTTTTTTTCCTAGGATGTTTCCTGAGAATAATTCTTTAATTTGACTACTGTTTTTGTTTTTCAGAATCAGAATCATCTTTATGTGCCACGTATGCTCACGCAAACAAGGAATTTGACTTTGATAGACAGTGCTGTATGCATGAAGGCAAAGTCCTATTTCTGCATGTTCAGCTGTCTCACATACTGTGTGAACAGTGCAGACTTGGCCAGTTCAACTACTTATTTGAAAACATCAAGTGTATCATTAAAAACTATCTTTGATTCAGCTTCTATCGATGCACACTGCCTTAATGTGAGTACTTCACTGTAAAAACCATCTACCTCATGTAAATGAATCCATCTGTTACATTATTACATAATGTATCATTTTTATATATCACTATTGTTTGCACTACTCACCACTGCACTATTGTCTTATTTATTATATTACATTATTGTTGAATATTCAATGGTGTACATTTGTACATAGAGCTGATCAATGTGTGAGATTAAGAATCCAGTCGCATTTTATAAAGAATGAATGATGATTTGTTTCGAGGTTTAAAGTGAGCAGCTCTTTCAAAGAATATCAGAGAAAGAAAGTGACCTACTTATTACCACTAACTGATCTCTTGAGCTGAACTGTTCCTAACAATTATCAAGCATAAGGAAATAATCAATCTGTAGGAAATAACAGATCCTAAAACTAAATAACCAACAACCTCACACATGTAGGCTAATGGTAACCCTACAACTTAAAAACTTAACTTGCAATCTTTGCAGATGGTAGCTTTGAATTGTGTTTAAGATCTCTGAGTAATTTGGAAGAGCCAATCTTCCGTTTTTGGGCATAAAAGGTATTTATCTTAAAGGAAAGCTGATAGTTCATGTGGATACTAAACAAAAAGATGGAGAGACCACGTTCCCTTTCAAGATTAAACTGAATATTGCATTAATTTTGAGAGGGAATTACACACACACACATTTATAAAAAAAATTAAGGTGGAGGCTGGTTGTGCATGTACCTGCTCTGGCCTACATGGCATACATATTGGTCACTGCTATACATCTAAATGAAAGCAGCGAGTTCATGGTAAAAAAAAAAAAGTGTTTTTTAATTTACACATGTTTAACATTTATTCATCTATAATGAGGAAGAGTGGCATGTTCCAGCAGGGGTCAGTAGAGACTGACTCAGTGTTTGGCTGCTGGCTGTCTGTCTGAGTCAGTACAACACAGAGGAAGAGAAGAAGAAGAAGAAGAAGACAGGAGGAAGGAAGGAAGAAGCGAAGAAGAGGGACGGTGATACCTTTCCAATGACATCATTGCGACTGAGCCTGTCCTTGTCCATGACGGTGATAATTATGGTGGTCTCCCTCAGCACGTGGGCAGGCACGTCAAAGGGGAAGGACTCGTTGAAGACGGGGTTGAGACAGCGCTTCATTACCACCGTCTTCTTCTTCTCCACACGCTTGTCCTTGTGCATCAACCACACTTTACATAGGGATCTAATGAGAGTGAAATATGTCAATTTAAGACATCCTTTTCAACTTGAATGCGGGTGTGCAATGCAATGGTGTGCTTTTTTGTGGATTTAAAAACATTTTCTAGTGAACAAAACCATCATGGTCTTGTTTTATTTTTGATTCAGCGCTGATGTAGAAGGCAAAAATATAAGGACATGCAAGATGAAGGAGCATTTATTATACCAGAAGTGCCTCCGATGTCCATGGCTTTGAGGTTGCGGGCTTTGATGATGCTCACAGTGATGGTGTTGGCTGTTGGATTGTAGCACAGAGACACCAGCAGATCCCCCCGACTCCCCTGCAGAAATTATACATAACAACGGAGGCTTGTTTACTTTTTTATTGCCTTTTCACATTGTTCTACCCTCTGTTGCTTTCTGTGTGTTTCTGTTTTTTTCCCTTCTGGCTGTCTGTGTTCTCATCGTCTACCTGTCAGCCTCTCCATATTCCCCTCTATCTCTTCTCCCACCAGCACGCTGCCACAGCTCCCTCGGGAGCATCACGCCAGCCAGGAATGACATCACCCGTTACATTCTGTCCCGTCTTTGCTTTCCCCTCCTCCCCTCTTCTCTCCTCCACCTCTTTTTCCATTTTACTCACGCTGCCATCGCTACATGGTTTCAGCTCCTTCCAGAAAGTCTGCATGTTGGCCAGGTCCAGTTTGTTGAGGGGGATGGAGACCTCTCCTATGGGGTCGTTCCTGCTGAAGCGGTCATAGTCAAGGACCTGCAGGTATAAAGTCCTCTGCACCACCTTCTCATAGGGGAACCCTTGGGAAAAATTGAAACAAACAAGTCCCAATGTGTCACACTGATGGACAAAGAGAACATGGATGTGAATATTGTAACGTTTACATTGAAGGCATTAGAAAACCTTCAAACAGGAAGGTCTCGTTCCAGTGAGGGTTCAGGTTCTTCCTCTTGACTTTGGTCTCCAGTTTGTGCTTCTTGTCTGGCAGTAGGTAGAGTTTGACAAACGGATCAGAGGTGCCAGAAAAGTCCTTAGCAGGCAAATCCTGGCCCTTGAGGATTTTGACGGTGAGGGTGGAGTCCTGAAAACTGTATCCAACGCTGAACTGAATACGACCCAACTTCTCACACACCGGACCCTCGTGATCATCTTCCTCTGAACCTGGAGACATCTGAGAGAAACGGGAGGAGTAGACAACTTTATTTAATTACCTTAATTTAACCTTATTTTATTCAGGTAAATTAGGAGGAAACAATGTCATTAGATTATACACTAAAAATCAGCAGCATCACACGTTTTAATATGACCATGAAGTTGTTGATGGAATAAACTTGAGTCGAGATGTACTCACTTGTTCAGGAGCTTTTAACACCACCACAAAGTCCTCATCTGCAGACTGTGTTAGCTCTCTATATAATAAACTACTGAGTGTCTATTATGTAACAGAGAGCACTGAATGAGTAAATGAAAACAACTGTCATCTTTTGAAATTGCAAATTGTGCTGGCAATGTTAGTCCAGCAATGTGTTGTTTAAGAGTACACACAATGTTGCACCATGAGAATTATACCACTTTTTATCAGACCACTTGTTCAAACACTTAGCAATATTAACAGCCTGTTCACACACAGATTAAACACATACAAAAGAGCTGACAAGTGGTAAAACATTAATTGTAGACTTTGATTCAATTGAGGGAGTCATTCTAAACTCCAGCATTAAAAACAAAGCCACAAACAAACAAACTAGCTTCATGCTATGTGATAAAGGCATTTGTGTCCATGGCTGTGTGGAGATGAGAGGCAGATTATCTGATGGTTGACATACCCTCTGACTGATGGTGGCATGGCCTTGAGGGAGGTAGAGAAAGCCAGTTTAAAAAAAGTGTTATCTGATTGGGGAAGAGCTGGAGGCATTACTCAAGGAGCAGTTCCAGGAATGTAATATCCAATTCAGTATTCTTCCACATATTTCTGATGGTGCTGCTCAGTCTCATTCTCCATGCTGAATATGATCACTTTTCATTATGCACTCCTCCACCCAACAGCTGGCCTAAATTGCTTTTCCCCATTTTGTGCATTGGGCGCCCTTCTCTTTTTCCCAGAGTCCTCCGCTCTCATTCAGTTTTTAAACTTTCCTCTGTAATTTCTTTTTCTGATACCAAAACAACCCATGTGCTGGAGATGCCAATTCTCTTGTGGCACAAGTTGTTGCCAGGTTTGCACAGCACTAATAGAAACAACACCTGGTGATATCCGTTTACTTTAATTGATAAAAAAACAATGGGAAAACGCAAATCCAACAATGAATGGTTCTACAGAGACAAATATGATCTATTTGAAAAAAGCTCGATCAGGTTTATTCCTCAGACCTGACCTCGGCTGTTATCTAAACACTATTAAAACTCATAATGGAGCTATATGTTGCACTGGCTGACATGTTTCCTCATTAAAATTTAAATTGGTATTATACTTCATTATAAGTTGTTTCTACATACACCCTCCAGCTGCTGTAAATACCAACAAAACTTTTATTAATCTACTGTTGAATTTAGTCCCCAAGTATACCATTTAATCTTATCTGTTATGTATTCCAAATGTTGCGCCAATGTTTTAGTAATGATTTTATCCCTTTTTTGAAAAATGAAGGATACATACCGTTTTTCTTTTTTTTAAAATGATATTTCCTAGCCACAGACAGGACCCGAACCCGGGCCGCCCACCTGGAAGACTACAGCCTCCTCCTGTACATGGGGCTCACACTAACAACTAGGCTACAGACGCCCATTGGTGAAAATATTGACAATAAAACAAGTTACATCCTCTGCCTTATCTTTTAACAAAAATATAGCAAAGAACATCACAATTGTGTACATGTGTGGTGACACATTTGCACAACCTTTTACTGCTATCTGTTGATCTATTAGCGTCACAAAAATGAAAGCAGTGTCAGAGTACATCCTGATAAAAGCCATGTGATGCTAACACAACTCCAACACATCCTACTCCAACACCTATCACCTGAGCCACTTGAGAGGTTGGATGTATATGTACTTTGACATTCAGAGCCATTACATAGCATCCCTTTTTTTGTCAGCCATTGCTTTTTCTACAGAAGCACAAGAGGCTCAAAAGTGCTGTATGGGTATTTTCAGCATGAAAGGAGGGCTGTGTAATTTATAGAAGCCTTTGGCAAAACTGCCTGGAATGAGTATTATCATTAGCACCCACCACCAGTATGAGTCCCTTAGACATACCATGTGAGCCACATAATTACACACTGCTCATACCCATGTCTGCCATATTCTCTCTGCACCCACAGCACAGCGGGTTCTTGCTAATTATGAACGTCGCTGAATAAAGCACATGTCCCCACCATCTCACTTCAGGGTGATGATTACTGTATATGTTCCAGTATGCAGATCCATACTGTACAGTTATAACGAACTGTGATGATCAACAGGTGTACGAGCTGACTGGGATGAAGACTACTTTCTGAGTGATGAAAGACTTGTGAGGAAGAAAACTTTTTGCATAACTTTTCATTGGACTATGGTCAAATAATGAAGTGTGTAGGCTTTCTTTTCTCACAATCTCCTCCAGAAACAACAGAGTATTATTGACAGTGGGCGGCATACAAATACATGAAAGCACCTCAAGCAAAGTGACTGCAATTGTTAAGTCTGGTTTATAACAACTTTTGTCAGAAACTTTAAAAACATCTTGTAAACTTAAATGAAAAATGATGGCCACAGCTACAATAAAGACCGATCTGAACATTTTTTCTCCTACACAAAATGTTGGATTTAACACCCACATGATTGTCTGAAGGTGCAAAATTGTTCTCACATATCACCCATTACTCTAACAAAATGGCATGGCTAAAAATAAAAGGCCACAGCTACAAAGGAGTTGTAAGAAAATAAAACACTTCACACTTAACTCTCACTAAAGCACAATAACAAAAGTTACAATATTGGTGAGTTGTTTTAGCTACAGTCAACAATAAAACACATCAGAAGATGTTGTTTCGTTCCGTGACATGTTGCTGTGTTTTTTGAGTCAATAGAAAGCATGAATGGCATTGCTTGTTTGGTTCAAGGTCTGCATGTTACTTTTTTTTTGATTAAAAAAGCTGATCTGGAACGCCGTTCAAGTCTCTCGGACATCTCATTAATTATGATTTAAAAGTCTTTCCTGACAGCAGTCCACCTCTAAATATAGATGAGTTGAGCAAAGTGGAAAACAAATGGACTAAGGACGAGTTTCTAGTGTCTCATTATTAAAATGTGTTTTTGCTGCTACAGCTAAAATGTGATAATATTGTGTGTTACCGTGAGCATGTCGCTGGTGACTGAGTTGGCCAAGTCAACAGAGGAGTGTCCGTTGTGGCGACGTCCGGTCTCGTCTGGGGTCTGACCTCTGGGGCTGCTGCCTGGTTTGTTACCTGGAGTCCTGTTGGAACCAAACACACACAAACTCACATGAACATAACCAGCTGCATGCTTTGTGTACTATAGGTATTGTGCTGTTTTTCACATTTGGGCTCCGGTCCTTCAATTCATCCAAATTATACAATAGTCCAACCCTTTTTTTAAAACTACACTTCCCTAATGAACGATGAGCGGTATTAGAGAAACACTTTTCCAAAGTTTGGTTTGGAAGAACTCAAGTCCTTTTAATACTTCATGAATAAGCAGGGAAACCAATTTTGAGCCAGGACTTGAGATCCAAAATTAATACCGAACCACTCTACTATTCTTGTTGCTATATGGGAGCAACCAATTTAAAAAATGTTCCATTCAGGCACCACATAAGTCTGCAGGGGAAGGTTTACCTAACAGAGGAGGCAGTCAGAAGCACCAAGGCTAATATTCTACAAAAAATGTATCCTTTCTTTCTTGGTCAGTCTTTCTTGCTCCTTCTTTCTTTCTCTCTTCAAAGAAAACTTTGGCATCCAATTTCTTATTCCTTGTCTTGGAAAAAGAACAGGAATAAGAAATTGGATACACCTGTATGTTGTCTATGAAGCTATTGCCAGTAGCCAGTTAGCTTAACTTAGCATGACAACTCAGAAAAGGGTTAAGTGCTAGAGTAGCTCTGTCCAAAGATAACAGAGCTAAACTGACAATTTGTATTTAAACGAGGCATACTTTATGCTCTTGTGTTTGTTTGTAACCTGCTGTTTCTGCACTGATTCAAGTCTTTATACTGACAGGAGCTTTATATTTACCCTACAAACATGAGAGAGGTATCAATCCTCTCATCTGCTTCGTGGAAGGAAAGTGAGCAAATAATCACTTAAATGCTTTTGGATGTTAAAGCGTCAGTTTACTTCTGAAACAGGGCTTGTTAAAGCCTCTCTGCTGTGGACAGCGCAATGTAGGGTTCTTGGTATATTTTTGAGCATAATTATAGCAAGGATAAACATGCACCCTTTGGTGAATCTTTTTTCATCAGCACTTGTCACTACGAACTCTGTGTCACATTATATATTAATAATATACTTAGAAAAAAAAAAAGTAACTGAAACAATTATTGAAAACAAGTTGTTAAAAAGGGAAAATATAACAAACAGATACCAGACCAATCAGACTTATGAGCACTTATTGTGGTGATAAAGATGAGTCAGAGAGACAGAAATGTTAAGTGAGCTGTAAAACAGAAAGGTAAGAGCAGATGTAAGTTTAGATGAAGGTATTAAGGGAAAGACAATCCGAGACGGAAAGATAAATTTGACTTCTCTGTGCTCAAAGGTTGAGAAAAGGTTGAGTGGAGGATTTGTCTTTGTTAAGACTCGGAGGATTAGAAAAATGAACAAAGTGAGGTTACTGACTCAAATTCCTGTTAGACTGAGACAAATAAAATAGAGCTGAAAGAGAGATGGAGGAGAAGAGGGAGATAAAATCCTGGAAGAAAAACAAAGCAGATTGGGTTTGGGGAAAAAAAAACAGTCAGATGCTCTAAAGCAGAGAGAGAGGACGCAAACTGACATGTCACATGAGCAAGCAAAATAGAAGGAAGCCGGAGAAGCAGAGGGGTGAGAGATGGACGGGGTTTGTACAGCAAAGAGACAGGCACGAGTGAACAATAGAAACACAGAGAGGTGGAGAAAAGTGTGGAAGGGAAAGAATCAATTCGTCACTCTGCGTTTGTTTCCTGTGATCTGCAGGTCAGAGCACCAACAATGCAGCTCGCACTTAATTCAAAACATGACGAATTCTTTCTCAGGCTCGCTAAAGACAGCTTATTATTGTGTTTTATGATTCTGCTGAAAAAAGACATCTGAAACTGGAGGAGTGGTTTTGCTTCTCTGACAGCTTGAACACATTCACCAAAAGAAAGGTAAAAATATCAACCTCTAACACATCAGGGAACAATGTGCGGCCTGAAAATAATTACATAACACACAGCAGCCACACAGGTAACACCTGGTTGTCTCATATGACTCCACCAAGTTTAGGGGGGGGGGGAAATATGTTTAACATTTTACACATTCAAAATCTAAAGACCAATAGGCAGCTTTGGATTTCCCCCTTTTTTAACTGGCAGTATGTCAGATTTCCCTTTTGGTGTTAAAATTGAAAACTGTTTGCCACCCTTTCCTTGACAACAGAACAGGAGAAAAACTGACTCAGTAATTCTCAGGGTCAAAATATTCGACCTCTCTGGTACCCTGAAGGATTTCTTTTCATCCTTTTCAGCATGTTATTTCAATTTATTCAAAACCAAATGGAAGCAGCATCCTGTAAAGAAATTAAAGGTTTTCTCAGGGTTTTATCAAAACAGCTGAGAGTATGTAAGTATACACCTCGAGGACATGCTTAACAGTACATTTTGAACAACTTGTAGGAGGAAATTTGTTTTTCCATCTTTGTTTAATTCCTCTGAACCTTTGTCAAGTGTGTTGACCTTACAGTCTATGGTGTTGACAAATGTTCAGAGGGACTGAAATGTTATGATTTTTCTGATAAATTGTTGATACTTAGCAAGAGTAGTGTGCAGGATTCTGCTAACACCAGAGGCAGCGCATATAATACATCAATATAAAACTCACATTATCCTATACAAAGGTCATGTTTGATCGTCTCTTTTAATCTTCCACGTACATTTTATGGCACAGCAGCAGTTCAGAGTTTAACATTTTTTACTCACAGGATAAGAATATAATCTTTCAAATGTAGCCTTCTATCACCATCTTTTCTATTAACTGATCAGTTGCTGATACATGGATGACTCTTCAGAGGCATTCCCTATACAGCACATCATTTACGCCTGTCAGGGTCTTTACACATAGTCTATAAAGTCTTTCTACTAGGAGGGGTTGGCTCAATGACAGCTCACTGAACTAAATCAACAGCCAGCACAAGATACAGAGACCACTTGAATGTTAAACAATCAACATAAACACAACCGGGAAATTCTCCCTTTATTTACAAATGAGATGTGTGCTTTATCGAGCTGCTGAAGGTATTTGGCTATTAATCTCAGCAGCCATCCAGAGCACATGCATGTTTTAACACTGTGTAAAAGCTGATGTACCCAATGCACGTATGAATACACTGTACATGCTTTTTGCTGAACGGCATATTGGCTGCTCTGTCTGCTCAACACTTAAAACATTTGATCTGAGTATGAACAAGATGTAAAGGGCAATTTATAAAAAGATCAGAAAATGTTAATCTTTTTTTTGAATCCAAGATGATGTACAAGTGCAATTGATTTCTTGCTATTTGCATGCTGGGCATGTACAAAGAGAGCTGTCATAATGCTCCGTGTCAGGCAGAAATATGCCAGCAGTTTGTGCCCAAAGAGATCAAAACAATTCTTCCTTTTTAACTGTTTGAGTGTTGCTTTTTCTGGATAATATTTTGGAAAAAGAGACACAACTAGTTTAGACTAATACTGTTTTCTTAAAGATACATATTAGACCTGTGCAGTTGGGGTGTATCATAGTCACTACAGATAAATATGTGGTGACATGAAAGGCAAATGAAGACCTGCCGCTGTGTGCAGCGTCCTCTTATTCTGGTTGTTGACACAGTGATGGCCTGTGGGACATGGAGCAATTGGGTGGGGTGGGGGGGGGGAGTTTATTCATGCATGAAAATATACATATTTAGTCCACACGTACCTGGACACATACACACAAACAAGTAAATTATGAACTACATCACATTCATGCGGTAGCAGCGACTGACTTTATAATTTGTCAAAACAAAAGGAAAAGTATGTAAAGCTGCTTGCGACTATTTCCAACAAAACACAACAGAAGTTACATAATTCATTCTTTAGAGGTTGTTGTAACCATGACTACTGAAATGTGTGCTCCCACTTAAGGGTGTACTCACTACCACAACACATTTTACTCAGGGTTACAGTAACCATGGTAACAGGAGCCTTCAAAAAGAGGGCAGTTAAAAAAAAAAAAAATCCAAGAAAAGTTCCACGGAGAGGGGCATCTTCTGAAAATAGCATTAAAGCCCACAGGGTAAAGGGAGCACACACTTAGAAAGCCTTTGAAACACACTCCTGGAACACGCTCTATGACTTCTCTCATACCTACATTTCTCCTACCCCCTGTGACCCCTGTGAACACAGCACAGCTTACACACACACCACTGGGTATGTGCATGAGCTCACGCTGAAATGGCTGAATCATAATTGCCAAAAACATAAGAACCTCCAGCAATGATTCTTAAAACAACGAGAAGTGACAGAAAGAAGCAGCCATGGAGTTACCTTCTTCTGCCTCATATCATAAGACTAAAATTCACTCTGTATATCACTTTCTCCGTGCAAAAGAAATGCAAATTAACTAACAGGGAGTCCAAAAGAACTAATGAGCGCGCATAAAGATGTGCAATCCTCCAGGAGGTCGAGGCTAATGTCCCTGGAGAATGACCACTGCAATCGAACACAATGAAACTCAAAACTCTGACCTCTGACATCATGACCTCAATATGAGACATAGTTGTAAGCAATCTTCTGTGTAACTGTGCAAAGCAGCTCCTTTCATCCCCGGGGACTATACAAAGACACCTTATCGCACTGATTCACATGTGCATTGTGTGCATCAGAGCCTGATTAGTATTGATTAAGAGAGACTGAATACGAGAAAAATGCATGCTTCATTCACCCGGCTTTGATAAAGGTGTTTCATGTAGGCAATTATAGGGGAAGCAACTGGGTGAGAAAACCACAAAGAAAGTTCTAGCAGAGGTCTCCGCTGGTAACGAGCAAGAGAGAACGTTTTCACATAAGATTTAAAGCAATGTTCAATCCACATTTGCTAAAACACATGAATTTAAATCAGCATGTTAGTGTATTCAAACAAGTCAAAACAAAATCCCTGAATTCCATGACTATATACCGGCCTGCTGCATAGCCACAAAAAGCTGGGACATGGAAATGTGTCCGTTGTGCTCAACATCTAACCCTAAGGATCTGTAGAA